GAAAAATTAAAAACTTAATAAGCAAAATTTAAAATTGTACTTTTGCTTAACAGTGTAATCATTTTGGAAAGTAAATTGAACCATGTGTTAGCTTTTGTTGAATAGCATAATAGAGGAGACAAGGGTGTGCATTGATATGTGTATTTGAACTTCTAGAGACCTGTGTGAACTCAAAAAGATAACAGAAACAGCAATGTCAATGTGGAACGCACATATAATTGTTTAACGACTTATGACTAGACTTGTTTCCTCATACAATTTATCTGTTTTGAATCTTTTAATTTCTACCTCGTTACTTTTTATTTCGTATTGAAAAGAATCCTTGTTCATATATAATTCATAATTACACCAGTCGGATGTTGACACATCTGTCCAAATGAATGATGGAATACCTTCACCAAATCAAAATCACAGCCATCATAGCAAACTGTTATTTTATGTAAATTATATAAAGAAATAATTTACCTTTAAAACAACAACAAATTGCATTTATATAGTACCTTTCACTTTGGGAGGATGTCCCAAAGCACGAGACAGTGAAGGGTGTTCACCCGAGCTGGGGGTTGAAATCAAGAGGGGTGGGGGGCAAGGTGGTGTAGGGTTGGGAAGATAACCGAAGGCACGTTCGAAGAGAAAGGTTTGAGACAGGCCTTGAAGGAGGAAAGGGTGGGGACAAGGCTGATGGGCTCTGGGATGAGTTCCAGAGGGTATGGGCCGAAAGGCTGAAGACCCGACCACTGATGGTGGAGCATGTCAGTGCCCGCCGAGCAAGCAGGCTGTTTAGTATGCAACAGAGGTAGGGAGGAACTAGACCATGGAGGGCTTTAAAGGGGAGGATGAGGATCTTGAACTCGATCCTCTGGAGGATGGTGAGCCGGTGAAGACAGGCGAGGTTGGGGGTAATCGGGTCACGGGGCTCCATTTGGAAAATATTACAATATCTATAGGTGTCAGCTTGGCTCAGTGGTAACACTCTTGCCTCTGAGTCAGAAGTTTGTGGGTTCAAGTCCCACGTCAGGACTTGAATTCACAAAGTCCAAGCTGGCACTCAAATGCAGAGCTGTGAGTGTGTTGTAATACTGTAGTACTGTATTGTTCTTCAGATGAGATGTTAAACCAAAGTGCCTTCTGCCTATCCAGGTGGATATTAACGATTCCTTGGCACTATTCAAAAAGAGGAGTTTCTCCTGGTGTCCTGGCCAACATGACTGGTGTTACAGAGTTTAGAGTGGGTGAGCTTTTTGACAGTGGAATTTTGATTTAGTTGGATTTTGTGGATAATGTAACTAGGAAACTGGCGAGGAGGGCAGGGTAATAATCGAGGCAGGAGGTGATAAAAGCATGACAAAAGTTTTGGCTGCACCGGGCAGGCAATATGACGGAGGTGAATAAAAGCGGTTCTGCCACTTCCTTTCCCTAAGGCCGCCAAAACTCTGATCCACGCATTCATCTCATCCAGGCTCAACTAAGTTGATTCTCTGCTTGTTCTTCTTCCCAAAAAGATCGGATCGCTTTCTGGGGGTAGTAATCCCTATTAAAAAATAATTGGTCACTCACTCCATGATTGTTTGTGGGGCATTGCTGTGCACAATTGGCTACCATATTTTGCCCACAAAATATAGTCAATTCACTTTACAGCATATTCTGTGAAGCCCTTTGAGATGTCTCAACGACATGATAAGGCACTATATCAAATGCAAGAATTTTTTATTATTGTTATTAAAGCATCCATACCTTACAGCTGCCTGCTGGAGAGGCAATACTGACGTTGGCCAGCCTCCAAAGACAAGGGAGGAAGAAATCAGAAACTATAAACCACTCCCCAAAGTAAAAGTTAACATTTAATTTAGAGGTAGGAAAGACACTCCAACACATACACTGTTTTGTCTTTGTATATGATCATTACACATCAATGACATGAAGAGCCTAGTTGGCATAGTTTGATACTGTTTCTGCAAGCAGAAAGATAGGTCCCATAACAGCACATAAATATAGATACCACAAATACAGCCTGGCTCATTTGGTAGCATTCTTGCTTCTGAATCAGAAGCTTGTGCTCCTTTCTTCCACCCCTTTCAAGGTACTTCTCAAAATGTCTCTCTTTGACCATGCTTTCTGTCACTTTAGGACTTCCTGCCGACATGAAAGGGCGTAGTTAAGCATAAACTGCATTGTTGAGACTGCAAACTCACAGTATTGGCTGACACTTCAATTCAGTGCTGGGGTTGTGCCGCATTGTTGGAAGTGCCATCCTTCAGATGAGATGTTAAACTGAGATCCCATCTGCCTGTTTAGTAGATGTTAAAGATCCCTTGGCACCATTTGAAAAGAGAAAGAAATACGGGGAAAAATAATCCCCCAAATAAAATTGGTTACTCACTTCATTGCTATTTGTACGAAAAATTGGCTGTCACATTTGGCTACAATTACCGTCACCTACACTTTACAGTGTATTCTGCGAAATCCTCTCTCGACATGAAGTGCTGCTCTCGACATAAATGGTTAGAAATCCCAAAATGCAAAGATTATTATAAAGTCATTTAAATTTTGTACATTTAACAATTTTACAGCTCATCTAATTGATGTTTTTAAAATAATAAAGGAATTTGATAGGGTAGATACTGAGAAACTATTTCCTCTGCTGGGGGAATCCAGAACAAGGGTATATTGGGCATGTTCATGCTGGAAAAGAGAAGATTGAGAGGTGACATGATTGCTGTCTTTAAGATGCTAAAGAGGCTAGACAATATAGATCATGACAGGCTGTTTCAACTTGTCCAGAATAGTAAAACCAGAGGATACAGCCTGCGATTGAAGGGGGATAAATTCAGAATGAATCTATACAAACAATATTTCAGTGAATGAATAGTGAATCTGTGGAATAGGCTCCCTAGGGAGACGGTTGAAGCAGGAAGTGTTGATTCTTTCAAACACAGATTAGTTTTCTTTTAGGAAAAAACATTATGGGATATAGTACATAGGTAGTTCAGGACATGTGCATGCACCCACCAGGAAGGTTGAAGGCAAACGAGATGGACCTTGGTCTTTTTTCGTCTAGCATTTCTTATGTAAGGGTGCATAATCTTAAAATTAGAGCTAAACCATTTATGAGTGAAATCAGGAGGTATTTTTTCCCACAAAGGGTAGTGGAAATCTGGAACTCTCTCCCCCAAAAGGCTGTGGATCCAAATTTTCAAGATTGAGGTGAATAGATATTTGTTAGTTAAGGGAATCAAGGGATATGGCGAAGGATGGGTATTTGGAGTTGAGGTACAGATCAGCCATTATCTTATAGAATGGCGGAACAAGTTTGCAGGGCTGAATGGCCTACTCCTGTTCCTATGTGTCGTTACTGTGTATTTTGTAGGAAGATGCAGCAGCCAATTTGTGCATAGTAATATTCCACAAACAGCCATGAAGTGAACTACCAATTTTATCTGGGGAATTATTGGCCAGGACATGGGGAGAAACTCCCTTCTCTTTTTAAATAGTGCCATGGGAAGAATTAATTATGAGCTCAGAGTCCCAATATGCGGCTTAACCCACAACCTTCTGACACAACAAGGCAATAGTGCCACCAACTGAACCAAGCTGACTCACAAAATATTAATACAACCGTATTCATGGATGCAGCAAAGCTTTCTTAATTTAAATTACATAATCTGAAATCCTTGAGTGCATTATGGTGTTGATAATACATTTCCATCCATTTGTCATTTTTCATAATAAATCTTCATTATCCTAGTAATACGTAATGTGCTTTACTGAATTGCAGCTCTCTTGTTGTCTTTGCTACTTCATGATAACAATGTTTTTGCTCTTTGCTGCCACCAGGGATTCATTGTAAACTGGATCCTCCACCTCAATGATATCCTAGTACAGTGTTTTTAAATAAACCCATTACAATAAGTCAACTAAAAGAAAAAAAAACATACATGACAAATTTACAACCTCAATGAAAATATAAGGAAAAATATATATTTCACTGGGGATAGTTGTATGAACCCCTATCTGAAATGTTACGTGAGAGATTTCATTCAAATGCAGTACATCCAAAGATGACACTGCAATCTGATCGATACGATTCATCACATTTGATTCGCGAGGGTGATCTCGTCCAGCACTTAAATGCCGACCGAATTCTTCTTGCAAAAACAAACCGTTTCCTCGCTGCAGTCGCATCATCCCAGAGAGTAAATTTGAAGGTTGGAAAAAAAACAACAACAACAACACCACCAGCACCAGCACCAGCACAAGAAGGATTTGCAATCTGATAAAATAAATGAATGTGCCGGTTTCGAGACGGAGCGTGCGGTTGAGCCGCCTCCTGGCGGCAGGTCGGCACACAAAAGGCGTGAGCAGGGTTGAGAAACCGTGACCCTCCCACACCACACCCCACCCACCCACCCACCCACACACACACACCCCCACCCACACACACCCCCACACCTCAAACAGGTGGCTAATCGAAGGCGACGCACCCACTTTTCGGGGGGGAGCAGAAGCTCTGCCCGACACTACACTGCGCATCCGATATCTCCCCCTCCAACAACGCAAAACCCGCCGCGCCGGAAGAATTCCGACCCCGTCCCCGTCATTTTTCCCCCTCCGCGTAAAATTTTTTTTAAAAAAAAAGCGATGCAGGAAAGTGGCGCCCGAAAAGCCAATCGCGCCTCCCGCTCTGGAGGGGAACTGCACGCCTTCTGCCTTCGCCCTGCGGACGCCGATCCGCCGACTTGCGCTGCCGGTCAGCGCCGACCGCTCCCGCACGAGCCACGGTCCGGGGGCAAAACGCGGGAGTTACATAACGGTCGCAATCCCGAGCCTTCAGAGAAGGGCTACCCCGGGGGGGGCGGGGGGGGGGGGGGGGGGTTGCCAGTCTCCGCTCAACTTTATTTTTTTTTCTTTCCTCGCGTCTTTCCGCGTCAAGCTCAAGCCTCTGTGGCCATGGCGGCGGCGGGCGGGCAGGTGGCGCGGCGCGGCGCGGCTCGGGCTCGTACCTGAGGTAAAGCGGAGTTCAGCTGGCGCTGCAGCAGGTCCCTCTCGTGCGTCACCTCCTGCATCTTGGCCTGGGACAGGCACAGGGTCTCCTGGCTCTCCCTCAGCGTCTCCAGCAGCTTGTCCCGCTCGTCCAGCATGTCCACCATCAGCTGCTCGAAATTGGCATCCTCCGCACCGTTCTGGGCGCCTCTCTGCTGGAGGCCGTCCTCGCTGATGGTGGGCATCACCTCGCACATCATGGTCCCAGTGCCGGCAGCCCGCTCACCGGCAGAGACAGAGAGAGCGAGTGAGTGCGTGGGCCGGGCAGGGCCGGGCCGGGCCACCTCTCCCTGTGTGGGTGGGTGGGTGGGTGCGCGGGTGCCTGCGTCTCGCGCTGACAGCGGCGCCCGGTAACTGCCGGCGCTCGCGCTCTCTGCCGCCAACTGCCGTGGCGCTCGCGCGCGCACACGCGCGGTCCGCGCTTGCGCTGCTCCCGCCGCCAGCCCCGGCTGAACTGCGCGTGCGCGGCTGCGGCGGCCGCCCCGGCTGGTTGTTCATCAGGAGAGTCATCCCGTGTGAGGCAGGTGGTGGTGGTGGTGATGATGGTGATGATGATGGTGGTGGTGATGATGATGGTGATGGTGGTGGTGATGATGATGGTGGTGGTGGTGGTGATGGTGGTGATGATGATGGTGGTGATGATGATGATGGTGGTGATGATGGTGGTGGTGGTGGTGATGATGATGGTGGTGGTGGTGGTGGTGGTGATGATGATGGTGGTGGTGGTGGTGATGATGATGGTGGTGATGGTGGTGATGATGGTGGTGGTGGTGGTGGTGGTGGTGGTGGTGGTGGTGGTGGTGATGATGATGATGATGATGATGATGATGGTGGTGGTGGTGGTGGTGGTGGTGGTGGTGATGATGATAATCCTCGCATTTGATATCGCACCTTATCAACGTCTCAGGCGCTCGGCAGAATATGAAGGTTTGACCGCAGGCACAGCCACCTCCCCCACCCCGGCCGGTCGGCTCGGAGTCAGGCTCTGCCACCGTTGAGCGCTCCGAGACGCTTCCCTGTGTGGAGGGTTGTGGAATATACGGCAAAGTGTGTCATTTGTGGGCGAAACTGCACACTGCAGTGTCCCACAAACGGTCATGGATTGAGTGACCAATTTATTATTATTACTATTATTATTGTTGTTTTCGAAGGAATCGATCACCCCCAGAAAAGCAATCCACCAATCGACTAACGACTGGGTTCCGACTTGCTGCTCGATAAACTGAGGCGTGTGGAGTAAGGAAACTTGCCCAAGGTTTCCCCCGCCGGGAACCCAGGTCTCTCTCTTGCAAAGCAAGTGCTCTAACCACTGAGGTGGAGGACTCCATATGGTGGAGCTGGGAAGACCGGCGAGGAATACATTTGAGTAATCCAAGCGGAAGGTGACAAATGCATGCACGAGGGTTTGGGCTACATTTCGGGTAAGGTATGGTCGGAGGTGGGCAATGTGGTGGAGGTGGAAGAAGGTAGTCCTGGTCATGTGGGGGAGGAAGGACAGCTGGGGTTCAAACAGGATGTTCAGTTTGCGTGCTGGTTCGGTGAGTCTGAGAGAGTCCCTTACAAACACTCTCTCATCCTCGGACTGAAAACCAGGTCCATTTGCAAGCCTACCTGTTTCCCTCGTACAACAGTCATCTCTGCAAACTCGAATTTCAAGCCCAGTTGCTTGAGCGCAGATAGCATAAAACTAGTCTCACTTCACAGCCAACTGTGGTTGGAGCATCTACCGCTGTTCCCTCTCTCAAGCCAAAAAACACTTTCTACTCACATGTCATTCTCGAGGTCAAAAGCAATAACATCAACAATAAATTTCATTTGTATCGCACCTTTCACGTCAAGAGAATGTTCCAAGGCACTGGATGGTCATGATCCCCACCCAAGCTGATGGTTGGGATCAGGATGGGTGGAGGGCAGGAGGATAGGAAGGTGACCGAAGGCACGGTCGAAGAGGAGGTTCTTAAGATGGGTAATTCACCTATAAATACAGTCACTGGGCTTTATGGAAACACGTTTTTTGGAAACTATATACTGACATCAGGACCTCTGGGAAGATCACCCATGTCCAATCACAGAAGTTGCTATTTGTGCATGAAAATTTAGGTAGTGAAAGTTAGAGCTATCAGAATGTACTGGTCTCATCCCTGCCCCAATCATGACATTGTACAGACTTTAAAAAATACTATGGAAAGTAATATCCACCTGACACCCTCCCCTCATTGAAGTAGCTGGAAGATGGCCAAAACGTAATATAATAATTGCATTTGATATAGTGCCTTATCAAGTCATTGAGACATCTCAAAGCACTTCACAGAATATATTGTAAAGTGTATTATAAATTGTATTTTGTGGGCAAAATAAGGCAGCCAATTGCACACAGCAGGTTCCCATGAACAGTCGTGGATTGAGTGATCACATTTTGTTTTGTTTTCTGTGGAGAGATTACTACCCCAATTTCTGCTTTATGGAAGGATTTGCAGACAATAAAGAAAACAGTAATAAAGCACACTGTGGTGATGACATAATATGGAGATTAAGCTAAAATAAATCTGACATGTGTATTTCTTCATCTTTACAGTAGGCAACCCATAGGAGGGAAATGATACATCCCATAAACATTTAAACCCATCATTACCAAAATCATTCGGAACAGGCTTTGCTCAAAACCTCTGCACCCCATGACGTTTTGGAACAGCTCAAAAGCATTTCTCCATAATTGTTCTTTGATTACTGCGCAATGAATTTTTAAGTTATTAAACTCACTCTATAAAACATTTTAAAAACAAAGTTATAAATGTAGACACAATAGAAATCATCTCCTGGTAAGGGAGAAGGAACATTCAACATTGCAGTTATAAAACTGGCCACTTATGTACATTTCCTAGTGACTGAATGCACATTTTGACAATTCCAAAATCCTGTTCTCCATGATCCACCACCTCCTCCATGCGACCTCTCAAGCACCCTCCATCCTCACTTCTGATGCCAAGCGCAAAGAGGTCCTGGATTTCTTTATCTCCAAGATAGATAACATCTGCTTGGCTGCCTCCTCCTCCTCCCCCAGCCCCACTCACATCACCTACCACCCCATGCCTCCTTCATCACCCTCTCCTCCTATCAGGGCTTCTACCATGGTCAACCACCCTATCCTCCTTTGCCCCCATCTCTCCCTCCTCCCTTTCCCCCACCATCACCCTGATGAAACTCACCACCTACTACCTCGAGCCCTTCCGAGCCTCTAGTCACTCAACTCCCCCTCCTCTGCCCACTGCTGCTTGACGCAATCAACTTTCCTCAGACTCTGTCTCACTCCCTCTCAAAACCGTTGTCATCACTCCTCTTCTTAAAAAATCTACTCTCGATTCCTCCAACCTCACAAACTTCACACCCATCTCAATCCTGCCCTGGCCAAAGTTTTGGAATGAGTCATCGCAAATCAACATTGCGCACACCTCTCCCTCCACTTCCTACGTAAACCCCTGGGGTCGGATTTTCGCCCTATCCACAGCACAGAGACAGCACTTGTCAAAGTAACAAATGACATCCTCTCTCTGTGTGACCAGGGATCCCTCTCTCTCCTCATTCTTCTGGATCTCTCTACCATGTTTGAAACAGTTGATCACATATTCCTACTCCAAAGCCTCTCCTCCCTTATCCACCTTGGTTTGAGTCCTACTTAACAAACCACCAACAATACATCTCGGCAAATGTTTTTTCTTCTCGCCCCTGCCCGGTCACCTGCATGGTATCACAAGGCTCCATCCTTGGCCCCCTTCTTTTCCTCATCTACATGCTCTCTCTCAGCGATCTCATCGGCAGGCATGGGGTAAACGTCCACATATGTGCAGATGATACCCAAATCTACTTCTCCTCCTCCAGCTGAGGCTCCCAGTCCGCTGATGCCTGTCAGCTTGTTAATATCTCGTCCCTGACCCGAGGCCACCCTCTCCCAAAATACCCCAACTACTACTCCCCACCCTTTGTTACTCCCACTCAGTCCTTCTCTCCTACCACAAATTTCCTGCAGTTGAATATCAGCAAGATGGAACCCATACTCTTTGTCTCCTGTCAACATCTTCTTTCATGCGAGTCTGAACTCCTCAACCTCCCCTGACTCTCCCTCAGACTCACCGAATCCGTGTGCAACTTAGGCATCAGGTTTGATCCCCAACTTTCCTTTGAACCACCCATCCGTTCCATGACCAGGATCGCTTTTTTCCACCTTCGTCACATTGATCGCCTCCGTCCATACCTCACATCCAACATAGCCAAAATCCTCATCCACGCCTTTGTCACTTCCCGGCTGGACTATTCCAATGCCCTCCTCGCTGTTCTCCCCAGCTCCATCATACACAAAATTCAATTAATCCCAAACTCCGCCGCCCAGGCACTCAGCCGCACAAAATTCTGCACCCCCATCAGACCAGTCCTTGCCAGGCTACACTGGCTCCCAATTACCAAACGGATTGATTTCACGATCCTCTCACTCTTTTTAAATCCTTTCATGCCCTCGCACCTCCCTACCTTTCTGATCTGCTTAAACACCACTTCACCACTTGCAGCCTCCACTTGGCTGGCTCCAGTCTCCTGTTTGTCCCTTGTCCCCTCCATCATTGGTGGCTGTGCCTTCAACCAAGAGGTGTCTCCTTGGAGCTGAAATAGATCTGAAATGTGCTTCTCAACAGTATGTCAAAATTGGCTCAACCTGCTCTGGCAGTCTGAACAGTCTGGATCCTCAGCCTCTGTGCTCCAGGGCACTGTTAATAACAGCCCAGCCTGGCTCATCAGCAGGATTTGATGCAAAGATTGGAAGGAGGGATTCTTCCTGCTCAGCTCCTGTTAATCCAGTGCTCTGAGACATATCCTGCATAAAGGACTCTATATAAATGCAAGTTGTTCTTGTTCCAAGCCAAAGCCCTAATTGTAGGTTAGTCCTAGCTGGACAAGTAACAGAAAGATTGCCAAACAGTGCTTTCAATGGCAAATTATTCGGTAATAACAACAACAACTTGTATTTATATAGCGCCCTCCACGCTGGAAGGTGCCTCAGAGCGCTTTACAGTAACGGATCCTGGGACCGAGCCAGGGGGAGGGGGAGGAAGGTGACCAAAGTCGCAGTCTTCAGCAGAGACCTGAAAATGGGAAGGGAGGGATCGAGACGAAGGGAGTGAGGAAGGCAGTTCCAGAGCCTCGGGGCATAGTGACTGAAGGCACGATCGCCGAGGGTGGAGCAGAGA